AGGAGCTCCGAGACGCGTGTGGTCAAACCACGGGTGTAAGCACAGCCGGGGGCCCCAGCTCTCCGCGGAAGCAGGGGCATCAGCACAACCTTCGGGGCAGCTCCAGCCTGTGCTTAGGAAGAGGTTCCTCCTTTGGGGAGGGGTCCACGCGCCCTGCATTGGTCCTGCAGCGTCCCCCAGAAAGGCGTTTCTCCATCAGCGAGCTCCTCATTGCCCGAGCGCTGCCCGGTGTCTCCCAGCGCTGCCCTCCTGCCTGGCCCACGGGGCTGCCTCCCACCTCCGCGTGTTTCCCCGTGTTTTCCAGTGCTACCTGGCCTGCCACAAGAAGTGTCTGGAAACCTTGGCCATCCAGTGTGGGCACAAGAAACTCCAAGGGAAGCTGCAGCTTTTTGGGCAAGACTTCACAAAGGCTTCTCAGAGCAGCCCAGATGGCATCCCCTTCATCATCAAGAAGTGCGTCTCTGAGATTGAGAAGCGGGCACTGAAAACCAAGGTGACGCGCTCTCTCTTCCCTCTTCTTCAGCTGAGCTGGCTCAGCCGCCTTGCCCTGAAAATCAACAGACTCGGTTTGTCAGATTACTGGAGGCGGGAAGCCAGAAAGTCCCAGGTGACAAATACCCCGAACTCTGCCCTTGGAAACTCACTTCTCTTGCCTCCCTCTTTCCTATGAAGCAGTAACGTCTGAGCTGGAAGGGGATGTCCCAGAGCCACTTCTGAGAGGGATTTCCAACCCCAAAAGGAGAGGGCGGGAGCTAGAAGCTCACTGTCTCATGCAAACGTGATCTCTCCTCTCCTCAACTCCACTTATCTCTCTTTGGCAGGGCATCTACCGAGTTAATGGTGTCAAGACCCGAGTGGAGAAGCTCTGCCAGGCATTTGAGAACGGGAAAGAGCTGGTGGAGCTGTCCCAGGCCTCCCCTCATGATATCAGCAACGTCTTGAAGCTCTACCTGAGACAGGTGAGGCGCTGGTGATACCTTCTGCTGGGGGGGAGGCGGGGAGGAGGCGGGCAGGGGAGCTAACTTCCCCAAACCAAACCTGGCTTCACCGAGTCGTCTCTGGCAGGAGTAATTCAGCGCGAACCGGGCTTAGTAACCGACCGGCTGGGGGTGTGGGGGTCCCTCCCAGCTGGGAGTGGGTCAGTGGTGGAGATGGGACCAC